GAACCACTGTTTCATAAAAAAAACAGAGGAAAGTTAAGAAGACTCTGTTGAAAAGTGAGAGATTCACTTCTTTTTTAGGATTTCATTTGCTGGTCTGTTTCAGGATTTTATTAGGATAGAGTTTTCTCTGGTTCTGGTTAGTTTGTTGGTGCTTTGACTAGTTTTATGGTTTGTTTTTATTTTTTTCTTTTGGGGAACCAACGTTTTGACCTTTTTTATTTGGATGGTACATGGTTTTGCTTCTCTCTTTTGAAGGTTGTATCCTTGAATACTTTATATCTTTTTATCTATCAATAAAAAGTTGTTTCTTGTTAAAAAATAAAAAATAATAATAATAAAAAGCAAATGCTTGAAACCCTAGCTAGAGAATACCATCATGAACCCAAGAGCAAAAAAATAAAAATAACTATTTCAAGAAAAGAGTGTCTACAACTTTGCTCTTCCCTTTCAAAGTTAAATAATTCCTCTCAAGCTACACACCCCGACAGAGCTTTTCCCACACTAAGCCAAAGGATTTTGATTGATAGAAACTTCAAACAAACCAGCAGTATTTGAAAGACAATAAAACTAAAAATGATTTCCAATACAAAACAAGTTTACCATGGAAACTGTATCACTAGCAACCAACTTTGCTGCAGCAATCATGATTGCATCTCTATTTGTCTCCTCCCCGTATTCTTTTTCACTCTCATCTATATGGATAATGTATAAAACGCATTAAACATACAAAGGTAAAATCATCGTACGGAAGCAAGTATAAGAATGACTGAGTGTTTTTTTCTTTTTTTGAGATACAAAACCAAACTTTCATTAAAAAAATTTGAAAGAATACAAGGAGCATACAGGCCCAGCTCTGCTGCTTCCCAAAAAGGCTATAGAATAGTTTCACAGAGGAATGAATCAGGCTATAACCAACTTAGGTACAAATAAGCCGCATGGATCAGACAGTTAAACAGGATAATTCTTTAAAAACTCATGGAACATTATCAAGTATGACCTTATAATTGTGTTCCATGATTTTTTTAAGATGGTATCATTAATCGACCCCTCAATGAGACTCACATCTACCTAATACCTAAAGAAAGAGAGGTCAAATAAGTCAATGATTCTCTCCCAATCAACCTGATTCCTTGTGCTTACAAAGTGATAGCAAGGGTGCTATCTAATAGACTGAAGGAAGCCCTCCCACACACTATTTCTGAGTATTAATCGACATTTGTAGCAAAAAAKCAAATCCTCGATGCCTCCCTGAATGCAAATAAGCTCAATGAGGGGTAGAACAACAAAAACAAGCAAGTTGTAGTAATTAAGCTAGATCTAGAAAAAGATTTTGCCAAAGTAGACTGGCATGTCCTTTATGTCATTCTCAAAGCTAAGGACTCTCCCCAAGATGGAGAAAATTGATTTATGAGTGCGTCTCTAGTGCAACTGCTCCACCATCATCAACGGTTGGCCAAGAGCCAGAATTCTCTCTTCAAGAGGCATTCGACAAGGAGATCTATTCTTCCTTTTTCCTTTTAAACTCTTATTGTACCTCTGCATCCTCACTTTGGCTCCCAAAATAGTTTCATCAAATGGTTTTCTCTAAGCAAATCTTCCATTCGTATTAATCATTTGCTCTTTGCAAACGATGCCTTTCTTTTCTCTGAATTTGAGCATGGAAAAATAACAAATCTATTCTCCTTAGCGAATATTTTTTAAAAAGCTTCTGGCTTGAATATTAATTACAGCAAATCAGAGACTCTGGGCATAAATATGGAAGTTTCTGACACGGAGGACTTGGCCTCATCCACTGTGTGCGAGCTAGGTTCTTGGCCAAGCACTTACCTAGGATTTCCCCTTGGTGGTAAGCCTATTTCTCTCTCACTTTGGGATCCTATAGTGGAAAACTTTGAGCGCAAGTTTAGAAGCTGAAACATGCTTTTATTTCAAAAGGGGTAGACTCACCCTCATCAAATCCACTTGTCTCCACTCTTCCCACATACTTCTTTTCATTTTATCAAATGCCCTCAAAAGAAATTCTAAAACTTGAGAAACTCGTGAAAAAATTCCTTTGAGAGGGTCCATGGGAGGTTCTCATATGTTCGGTGGAAGAAAGTTCAACAACCCCCATAAACAGCAGTCTCAAAATTGATAACATCAAGCTTTGAAATCAAGCACTTCTTGCCAAGTGGTTATGGAGATATTTAAATGAACCAGAGGCCTTATGGTGCAGCAAGGTTATTAAAGCCAAATATGTCTCCTCACAATCGGACTCATGCCCTAAGCAACCATCCAGATCCTGTTGGATGCCGTGGCATTTCATTTGCGAGCTGAAAGCTAATATCATGGATAATACTTGCAACTCAGTAGGTAATGGTGAAACGACTTTCTTTTGGACTGATATTTGGCTTGAAAACAGGTCCCTTTGCTCGAGATTCCCCTATCTCTATAGACTAACACATTATTCATCCTCCAAAGTCGGAAATTTGTGTTGTCCAGAAAAAAATTGTTGGAACTTGAGTCTTCAGAGAACTCTAAAAGACAATGAGATTAAGGAGTGGCCTTCATTTTCTTTTAAACAAGAAACAAACTTTTCATTAATATGAAAAAGGAAGAAAAATGTTCAAGGATTAAAAGAAAAAAAAAAACCAGCCAATCAAAGAAAACAATGGAGAAAAAACCGACTAAAACTTCGGCAAAATGACGAGTCGAAAACCAAGACCAAAACTACTTCTTTAGGCTTCAAGAGTGACACCAAAATGCTGCATAGAAGGAGGGAACAACTGTAATCCTTTGATAAGAGAAGGAAAGACCACACATTGCACGCCATGTTGATCTTGTAGGATCTCCAATAGAGGAAGAGGATTGAGATTTCATTTCAAACCTCCTAAAGCAAATCATTCTTCAAAAGATTATATATAGATCAAGAAGAAAAGACCCTTAAACTTCCAAGGAAATAGCCAACCAATTAATCCCCTTCTTAAAAATGAGATGCAAGATCAAAAAGAAGATGCTGCTAATAAAAGACCTTTCAAATTCTCCTTGAAGATGCTGCAAACTGAGAATCGATAAAGACAAAGAGTTAATAACATGCTGCTGAAACAAAACCTTTCAAATTCTCCTTGATGCTGCTGAAAATCGAGAGCCAATAAAGACAGATTTAATAACCTTGGGTTCCACAGAAAGGAAAGCAGCCAAGAAGAGATGAAAAACCCTTCAACTATTTCCTAAAAATAATTTGCTGAAACTAAGAAGGCTATTTAAAGAGCGCCAAAAACCAAAACTTCAACTAATGGATAGATGGAGTGGGCTTCAATATAACATCTTGCTTCCATCCACATTAGCAACAAGGAGGATAGATGGATTTGGCCGCTGGATCCAACCAATTTATATACTGTGCGTTCCTTTTATTCTTCTCTACAGGAACCAAGTGACGATTATGGAGGCCTCTACAGATCCACTTGGCAAGGTTGATGTCCAAGAAGGTTAGAGTATTCCTTTGGGAACTATCCCGTGCTGCTAAAAAAACTCATGATCTGGTGAAGAGAAAGTCCCCTGCTCTCTCTCCAAGTTGGTGCCAAATGTGCAAGCTGAATAATGAGTCTCAGTACCATATTTCTGTTCTCTGCCCCTTCGCCCAAAATTTCTGTAAATTACTCATTGGAATGGTTTCAATTGGCAGATGGCTTTTCCTATGCCGACATCGACCTTCATCAACTACGTCCTTATGGGTCACCCTTTTAAAGTGGCACAGCAAACATTATGAACGAACATAGTCAAAGTTCATTTTTTTCAATGAGAACTGTGTTTCTTGTTCAAAAAAAAACGAACATAGTCAAAGCTTTCTTGTGCAAGATTTGGTTGGAGAGGCACAATAGGATTTTCAATGACTTTGATGAACCTTTTAGCTTATTTTTTAATTCTGTTTTCTTTTTGGCGGTGTATATGCAAGCACCACTTGTCTGAATATAGTCTTTCTATACTTTTGGCCAGACGGATGACTTTTTTGTAAATCCATTTTTGGACTCTTGGGTTCTCCCTTTGTAATGTTTTCATCTATCAATGAAATACATGTTTCTTTTCAAAAAAAAAAATGTTAATTCATTTTCACACTTCCAGCCAAAAGAAAGTCCCAAAGCAATTAAATCAATACCTGAATTACTTAGCTGTTGCTCACATAGCCTCCAAAATTTTTGAACAGCAGATGCATCAGGACAAAACCCTAATCTTTCCAGTTTTGTTGAAGAATAATTTTCCTTCCTAAATAAAAACCATATTTCTGCAAGGATGGTACAAACCTACACACATCCAATGTTATTAAATCAGTATGAAATTCCAAGAGATCACTGGGGATTTCAATATCCTTATTGAACTTGATAGAAATGGAGGAACAATGTACTTACTCGACCGGCTAGATTACCACTTTTACCAACTTCAGAAGGATCATTCAGGTAACGGTCAAGATGCTCAAGCAATGCATTCCGTTTATTCAATAAGGACGATAAAGATTCTATAGACACTGTTTCACTATTTATAATGGAGTGCAGAGACCATGCCAAATGTAAGTAGAGGTTGAGAAGAAGAAAACATACAACCTGCATGAGGGAAAAAAAAGTACCTGATAAGCTCAGGCTGTTTTAAATAACTAACTGTTCACCCATTAGCCACTCTTACCTCTTCATCCATGCTTCTAAATTTCTGAAGAATCATAATAATATCATCATATAAGCTTTCCATAGGAACAGGCCTTGACAATTGAAACTCATACAACCTTTTCAAATTTACAAGGAGGGAGTACTCATCATCACCATCCTGCAGACAATAAGATTTAAGCATGCTAATAAAAATATATCCAGAGGGGGAGGAACTAAAAAAACAATATCACCTCTATATACCTCTAACTTTCTCATAGCATGTTTAAGTTTTTCAAAAAGCTCATCTTCAAGTTCCTTCAATTTATTACGGGAAAAATCTTGCAAGTCCCCTGGACTCTCAGTGCAGCATAAGTCAATGGCCTTCAAGCAGGATCTCAATGCTTCCTTCTCACCATGCTTAAAAAATGCCTCTTTGATTAGTTGAAGAACATTTTTAAAATTCTGAGGGAAGATAACAAAAGATAGACAATTACTCATCAGAACTAAGCTAAAAAAAAGTTAAATATGAAGCTGCTGCAACTGTACAGAACCTGTTCCTGCCTCTTCAGGGAATAAAGTTCAAGATTCATGTGCACGATAATTTCAACTAAAGATGGGACTTTTGCTTTATCAGCCATGAACTTGCGTAGTAGTAGTGGATAATTCTTCATCATGGCAATAGTTATGTCTCGTCTGTTGCTTTCAAATAATTCCTGATAATTAGAACAAATAAAGATTTAGACTTATGGAGTCGAAGAATAATAGCACTAAAAGGGCAGATGAAATTTTGAAAATGACAAACAAATGTGCCATAAAAATATATGTGAAGCATCACACAGGAACCAACATGAGCACCAGGACAATATGAAAGATGGGGAAGCTGACACTTGTAAAAGCTTAGCTTACTTGGTTCAATGCATTGGCATATACCAAATGGTGGTACTTAGGAGCATAATTAAATAAAATGGAGATTAAAATATTCGCTTTGACCATAGAAGAATTTTTCTGTATTCATTAAGGCTAGACTGGAAATGTTTTGCATTTTAAGAACCAAAGAGCAAGAGGATATTAAGTGTAATCTCAACATTACACACCTTTTGAGCTTTACTGAAGTATTGCTTTCTATTATCAGTGGCAGGAACAATCCTTTCCCCAACTGCCTTTTGGACAGATGCAGAAAGAAGACGAACCAAGTTTGTAGCATCCTCATCAGTAAGCTCAATCAAAGGATTTTCATCTAGGAGCATGGAAATAATGCACTTCCAGTCCTGCAGTCAAGATTTAAGCAATATCATCTAACTTTACCATGAAGTAATTCTTCTAAAATATAAATGAGCACTTTAAACATATTTGTTGCTTATTCAATTTACTTCTTTGTTCTTTGGAAGAACAAGTGGCATCAGAAATCTAAACTACCAAGTTTAGAAGAAATTGCGGTAGTAAATAATAGATGTCAATATCGCAAGTTTTTCTTCAAAACAGGCCCAAATTCAAAATTAAGCACAAGAAGTTCCCATATTAGATACGATCAACTTAATCTAAACTAGGATTTTTGGCATGGGTTAAATGACAAGGATACCATAAATTCGTTGCCAACACCATTTTTTTTTTTTTTGCCAAATAATGAACTAGATTAAAGCAGGCATCTAATTGTGATATTAGGAGAAGACCCATGGTCAACAATTTCATAAATTTTCATATAAAATTTTAAACCATAAGTGATAGGACTCTCAAAGTTTCCTCTTATCTGTTGATAACCATGTGGGTTCTATCCAACTTATTCACATCACTAACCTCATCAACAATCATCTCACGCTACAATGTTTCGTATCAAAAAACTCAAAAGATTAGATATCAAATATCCTTCCATGGATGAGCACCATGGTTTCAACCACGACTACAAAGAGTTCTTGGCTAAAAAATTTCCTCTTCGACCACTGGCAAACTCATGGCAGTTGCCCTACAAAAATAAATGTTGATAATTAACCTAAAACACAAAACTTTGTGTTTATATAATCATAATTACCTTATACACGTGATGTATTGTCAGTATTGTTTGCCATTAGCTTAAGCATCATCCAGAACACCAAAATATGGTACTAATAGTACACACCAACCTCTTTTCTTTCTACGAAATTGAACTCTTATAAACCTATGTATTAAATACATACAAATTCACAGCATGAATACATACAAATTCACAGCATGAGCAACACACGTGCACAGATATTTTTTAACTAATAATAATCTAAATAGGTCATTATGATTCAGTTTCCTTAGTACTGCTGGCATAAATTAATTGAACTAAATCTTTTTCTTTTTAATGATAACCGGGAGTTGGAGCTTTGCTCCCTATATCTAGGGGCACCCGTGCCCACCTCAAGGCCCTGACAAATTGAACTAAATCTAATAATTAATAAACCTAGATGATCTATTCTTTATTAAGAATCTCAAAAACCTTCATAAAGAAATCCCAAAAACCAAACTAGACTGAACCTCTTTTCACCCCCTTTAGTTCACAAATCTTGCAAAACCTTCTTGTAGAGGTGAATATAACACACCTTCATGGCCTTCATATATTCCCAGACATCATCGACAACATATATACTTAATATTGGATCCGTTGAGAATTCTCTCAGGATTTGCAACATTCTGCCAAGATGAACCTCAGAAGAATTGTTGTCGCCATCACCTGAGAAAATAATTTACCATATGATTGCTTTCTCAGACAAACAATAACAACAAGCGTGAGATATATTTTTAAAATAGAGCAGAACCTCTCCGAGTAGATTGGGAGCTATTGAACTTCTGAGCAATCAAGTGATCATACACTAATCCTCCTATGGCATGCCTGATCTCTGGCGGATCATCAATCAGTAAATCATAAAGAGGACCTAAGTCGTCATCAGCTAAAAGTTGGTGTCTGAAACGCAGAAAAGAATGAATAAATATGTATCTACACAAGCTTTTGGAATAAATTATACTGAGTCACCTTAGTAGTTGTTTAACAAGCCCTATGGCACACACAGCCACAGAAACATCAATGTCATCCGCCAATTCAATCATTCTATTAGAAAACCTCTCAGTGAATAGACTAAGAGTTGGCACATTATCGTCAACCTCATAAAGATTCTGCAAAGCAAGAACTGAAACTTTTCTGACACCTGCATTCTGCACCACAAAATAAAAGAAAATAATGAACCTGTTTTCACGTAGACGGTGAGTAGGACCAATAAAGTAGTTGGTAAAGATTCCAAATCAAGTAACTTACTTTGTCATTTAATGTCCATCCAAGATACTTTAAGTATAAATCCTGCAAAAATAGTGATGGGTAGGACAAAATCCATACTCCCAAAGACTGTATGCATGACATTCTAATGTTTGGATCAATATCTCGATAGCGATGCACAAATAACCTTCAAAAATAAACAAGCTAAGAAAACTTAGGAAATAATGAGCAAGAAATACAAGATTACTAACAGAAGGTAAAAGTTAGAAGCACTTTAACAGCCCATTTAGAAATATTAGGCAAAAGATTGTACCCGGTAAAAATTTTGCGCATCATTTCTTCCAACACTGTAATATTTTCATGAGTCGTTGAAAACCTTTTATTTAAAGACTCCACACGTGGTCCCTCAGCTCGTTTCTTCTTTTCAGCATCTAACTGTCTACGAGTAGTTTCACGTTGAGCACCAAGCATTTTAGCAACACTTATGAATGATGTAACGAGTTGGAGACCCATCAAAGAAGCCACTTGACGATAAACCCTTGGAGGAGTGCTGATCCATATTTTTAAAAATATATATATTAGAGGAAGAGACAGAGAATTGTTCTTAAGAAAATAATAAATCATATACTCAAACTTTGCAGTTGATTACTGACCATGATAATGCAATTATGTAGTCCACGCATTTATCAAATAACACCTGATCAAACAAAGGCCCATGTTGACACTCATGGACCAAATGGTCCCAGAATAACTCAAGATTATCTTTGAAGTTTTTGAACTCCTTTTTTGAGCTTTGATAATCTTCAACTTCACCCTGTGATAACAAATTCAAGCCAACGTTTGAAGGAAATTTGAGCAAACTTTCAGAGAACTCAAATAAGAATTGACAGTAGAACACTAGAAGGTACAATATGGAGCTTTGATAATCTTCAACTTTACCCTGTGATAACAAAGTCAAGCCAACGTTTGAAGGAGAATTTGAGCAAACTTTCAGAGAACTCAAATAAGAATTGACAGTAGAAGACTAGCAGGTGACAACAATATGGAGAATGTAAAAAATGGTTTGACATAAAATATGTACATAAAAGGAATATTTACGATACTTTTTTCGCAAGATTGACAAGAGCAACAACAACATCATCGACATCAGTCTCTTCCAGGAAGTCGCCCTTGATATGATATTTAGTTCCACAAGCCTGTAAGTTTGTAAATTTCACTAATCAGAAATCTTTGTTTCATAGCAATACCGCTTCAATAAGAGGATAGTCTCATTTAAGAATGAAAATAAGCATTCTACAGTTCAGGAGATCTAAACCAACTTCCCACCTACTTGCATTATCCAAGGTTCTAAGAAAAAACTTAGAAAGAAACGGTTGTTTTCTAAAATCTCTCTCAAATTAGATCTTATTATTAAAATTTAACAAATAAATAAATAATGAAAATGAAAATGAAAGAAAATAAAGAAAGACACTTTGAATTACCTTAAACAGCATGGTCAGGAGCTCGACAATTGAATCTTTTGGATCTTTTTCATACCTCTCCACCCAAAGCTTAACAACTTGAGGAATAAGTTTCCCATTTCCCTTTATAACTTCTGCAGAAAATTAAAGGACATGACAGCGCTTATCAAGATTTACATCTTGTCTCCTGAAATCATAATAAAGCAAGTCTTGCGTTGTAACGATGAGCAAGCACCCGACGATTGTGGCATTTACAATATCCACATCCACTCTTTCAAGCAGACAACATTAAAGGAAGAATTTTATTAAGAACATGAGCACAGTTGCAAAACGATGAAAAGGACAACAATCCATTGAGCAGTATCGCCATAATGACTAAAACCTAAACACCTCCAACCATTGCACGAGTTTGTGCTTTCAGTTATCAAAATCCATGGAAACATCATTAAGTCGTAGATAAAATAAACCTAAATAAGAAGATGAACATTCATGATGCCGATAAATTAATTTAAAATTAGTTACCAATCAAGTTTTGATCAGAGACTTTATGCGCAGCACTCGAAGTGCCTTCCAAACGGTTCCGCTTAGTTTTAGGAGGCCGAGCCTCTTCAATGTCTTCAGGCGAGCTCTCCCTGTCCACCTGGTCGCTAGCATCGCTGGTCCTGTCATTGTTGTTGCCACCACCACCGTCTTCCTTGGAAGGTTGAGCTTCGGTGGCTACAATCTGAGCCCTCGTCCTTTTCTGCTGACCCGAACACCACAAATTATCCCAATAAATATATCACTGTGGAACGAAAAACAGAAGGAAAACAAAAAACTCCACGAGGACTGAGAACAATCATCACCGAGCGGCGAGTGGTCAATCCGAAAGCAGGAGTAGCAGCGTCCTCCATGGCCGACGGTTTTTGTTCAACAGAAAACTTGACCTGGAGATTCTGACGCGGGAAAGAAGGAGACGATAGGTAGGAAACTATGCCCTATGTTGGTGAACGTCGGTAGATCGAGCGAGTGGAAATGTTAATCTCCCGCCAAATGACGAGAAGGGCATCGCAAGTTCGCAACCCAACTAGGAGATCATGCTGTGCTATATACGGGGAAATTGGACTGAATAAGCGTTCTCCGTACCATTTTGTCTACCGACATCACTTAATTTAGTTTCACTAATCCTCACTCGCTATTAGATTTCTCACATCACTTAATTTAGTTTCACTAATCCTCGCTCGCTATTAGATTTCTCTCTTATTCCCTGTCCCCTGATTTCCACAGTATTTTTGGAAATTCGAGGGAATAGGTATTCTGTCGAGTCTTTTAAGTTTTCTAATTGCCTTATCAAAATACAAATTTTCTAAGCATTTGAGGATGTGAAATTATGTATTTACCCTTCTCCCACTTTTCTCTCTTATCCCCTTTTTCCCCACTCTATTTCCCTTCCTCTCTTTACTCTATTTTTTTTCTTCTATCATTTTTCATTAACTCATTCTTTCTCTCTTCCGCCGTGGGTTTTTTTCTCTCATCCTCCCTAAAATTTTCTTTGGGTTTCTCGTTCCCTTATTCTTTACTCTAAAAGAATCATAAATCTCTCGACCTTCTTTCTTTTTTTCTTTTCTTTTTAACGAGCAGCATCCATGATTCCGGTGATGCCAACGACGGGTGCATCAAAATCGACGGAGGTCGTTTGTCGAAGAAGAAAGCTCTGGGAAGAAGAAAGTTCAGTCTAACTTTGGGGATATGGATGGGAAAGGAGATAAAGAGAGAGAGAAAGTTGAGCGAGAGAGCGAGAAAAGTGAGGGAGTGAGAGAAAGTTAAGCGAGAGATAGCGAGAAAAGTGAGGGAGTGAGAGAAAGTTGAGATAAAACGTTATCTAAATTGGAATCTCAATCTCCTTAATTTTAGTAATTTGGTATTCAAATTTAAAATTTAATCTAAATTTGTTCCCTCTCCCCCGTTCTTCTCTCGCTCTCCCTCGTTCTCGCTCTCCCTCGTTCTTCCCTCAATCCCTCATCTCTCGCTCTCTCCCGTTCTTTCTTCTCCCCCTCCAGGCGTTTTCCGGTGATATTCTTCTTCGACGGTGGGTCTCACGTTTGTGCCAGCAACATCTCCTCCCTCGTCATCGTCTTCTATGAGA